CTGCCCCTACCTGGCTTGTCCTCCAGGAGTATGGGGTCGGTGGGCATGGACGGCTGCCCAGGACCGGCCGAATTCACAGCCTGCACCTGGAACAAGTAACTCTTCCCCGGCTGCAAGTCAGAAATCTGGGGGTGGGAGTGGGGCAGGGAGGCGAGAGTGAGCTCTGAGGGCAGCAAAGACCACCCTTCCCCAAGCCCTGGCCTCGGGGTGCTGGGAACCGCGCATTTGTGGAACCCCAGGAAGGCACAGGCGGCCCTGGTGGGGACGGGCCAAGAGCACATTGCTCTCCCGACTCCCAGTTGTCAGTAGGTCTCCCCACTGGGATTATCTCCGGCCTGTGGCACCTGGAACTCCGTGGGCTCGGCTCGGAGCTTCACTGATCACCCTGAGAAACCCTCCCCCTTCCCGCGCCCCAGCTCTCCTCCATTTATTGCCCCTGGGGACCACCTTCGACATCTTTTTCTGGAGCCCTACACATGCCACCACCAAGATCCCATTTTATTTTCCTAACGTCTCTTGAGTGCAGCTGCTCCTGCTCACATTGCGTCCAGGGCCTCCGCTGAAGCTCTAATCGCCTCACCTGGGTGAGCCCGACAGCTCCCCAAACCCTCAAACTGCAGCTCCCCAAACTGCATCTTTGCCCCAAACCCTCTTCCCGGCCTGCCTTTCCCTCTGCCAACCTTTCTAAGACGCCAGTCTGACTACGCTTAAATCTTTCAGCGGCCCTCAGGGTCAATCGAGTTCAGATTTCAGGGTTTAGTACCTACGCTCCTCCTAGCGACCTTCGTGGCTGTCCACTTCCTCCTCCCTGTGCCCCCTTTACTCCATGAACCCCTCAGGGTCCCCACACTTGTCACATCGTTTTATGCCCCCTGTCTTTGCCTCTGCTGAGCCCTCTGCAGAGCCCCCCGCCCCTTCCCCCAGCTCACTCTTGACCTCCCAGCTCGGGCAGATGCAAGGACCCAGGAAGGTCTCTGACCTTCCTCCTTGGAGGAATCCTTCAGTCGCCCCACTGTTGTACCATACACGGTATTATAAAGGCCTGTCGCCCAAGGATGGCTACATGCAGGACCTGGTTCCTGGTTCCAGACCTGGCACTAAGTAGGCAGCAGGAAGTATTCAGTGAGCGACCGAGTGAGTGAATGCCAGCCAACCATCCACACGCAGAGACGGTGCCAAGTCACCAAGGCCCGTCCCGCCCTGGCCTGGGCCAACCTATGTTAAGAAACATATATCTGCATATATGTTTGTTAATATGTCACATGTGTACTATGATACGCATGTGTCATGTGCTATCTAACATATATATGTCCTACTCTGTATTATGCTTTTTCTCTTAGCCACACAGGATGGATATAGTTTCATGTCCGTACCCACATGTATGTTGGCCTTGATCTTGATCCTATTGCCACTCCTTAAATCACCTAGTCTTTAGCTCCCGGGCACAGGGTTCCACTTTAAGGATACATTATGACTTATTTAAGCAAACCCCTTGATGGACATTTAAGTGGTTTCCAACTTTTGCCTTTTTAAACTATGCAACAATGAGCAGCAGCATCCTCAGATCTTTGCGCACTTGCTTAATTATTTCTTTGCAATTCAACTCTTGAAGCAGAATTCCTGGTTCCAGGGATGAGCATATCCCAATGCTGATATGCCTTACCAATTGTAAGTGTGTCTTTGGGGAGGAGTCTGCTCAGAGTGGAGCAGGTTAAGTCTACCAGCCAGCCAAACCTACTACCAATTCGCTGTGTGACCTTGGGTAAGCCACTCCCCCTCTCTGGTCCACTGCTGCCATTAAGCGAGGGCAGTAATCCCTGAGGGTCCTTCCAGCTCTGATGTTCTGTAGTCCTGCCATGTCCAGCAGCAGGAAGGCTCAGGGTGGGTCAGAGGATGAAGGAACAGGGACTCACCCTCAGATGGGTGCCAGAGATGGGGTCTGAGGTGACTGGCTTCCACTGCTCAGAGCCTTCCTCTTGGAAACTGATGTAGTAGCCTGTGACTGGCCCGGCCCCTATGTACAGTGGGGGCTCCCACTTCAGCATCAGGGAGGTGGCCCGCACCTCGAACGCCCGAACGTCATACGGGGGACCTGTGGGAGAGGGGGTAGGGGAGTTGGGCAGCCAGGCAACCAGCCAGACAGCCAGTAACGAGCTGGGCGGTCGGTCAGCAAGCTTGTCAATCTGTCAGTCACGCCAAGCCTGGAAGCACCTGTTCTGGCCACACTGGGGACCTGGCTGGCCTTGGCTTCATGACAAAGCTTGGTCTGGGCCTGAAATAGGGTTAGATCCTCCCATCCCCATGCCAGACAGCAGGATCCTTCCAATGTCTTTGCCATTTCAGTTTTTAGTGGAGGGGCTAAGGGTGTGACGTCCAGAGTCAGATCACCAGGGCTCATGTCCCAGCTCAGCCCTTTCAGGCTATGGAGACTCTAGCAAGTTACTGAGTCTCAGTGTTCCTGTTTTCTCATCAGTAAAATGGGGATACTATTAGTTCTTATAATATAGTGCTGTTGTGAGCATTAATAACAATGTATAGAATGTTTAAGTTCATAGTGAATGCCCAGTGAATATTAGCTGTTTATAATTGTTGTTGGCTAAAGCATCACACACACTGATTACCTTCCACTCAGGTAAAGGTTTGTGTAGAAAACAGAACCAAGCTGCAGAGAATGATGGAGGGGTGGGGTTCATCTGTGAGAAGCGAACAGGACTGTGGGTGACCAGCCCTCCTTGTTTGTCCAGGACTTTCAGCGGTAAAACCAAACTGGGCAAACTAGGGCAAGCTGGTCACCCTAGCAGTGTGCCTTTGGGGTTTGAGATTAGTCTGTGGCCAGAATCAGGGGTCAGATGATGAGTTGAGCTAGAAGATAGTGTGTGCTGGGGTGCAGGGCCAGTAGATGGTCAAGGTCAAGGGTCCTCTAAGGCAGGGTTAAGACTGCCTGTGTCAGAGATTACAGGGTCTGTTGGTGGAAGGGGCCAGGGGGCTGATGTCAGGAACCAACAGAGCAAACATGAACATATGGAGCTCGGCAGCGGTCATCGAATTGGTTGGATTTGGGGAGGGAGGGGGCGCAGGGGTCCAGCACTTCCAGGCCCCTCACCTGGCTGGGGCATCGTCCACTCTTTGCACTCAAACAGGCTGCTGGGCGCCGACAGCTCACCGACACCTGCCCAGTTTGTCGCCCGGGCACGGAACTCATAGAAGTGGCCTTCACGAAGTTTGCTGACCTTGAAGAACAGAAACACAGACTGAAAACCGAGGCTGGGGAGGGGGGAGCAGAGGTACTGCAGTTGGGGTGGGGAGAGGTTCAGAGCAGGAAGTCCCTGGGGGCCTTAGACAAGATTGGCCAAGTGGGTCTGCACTTGGATTCCCGAGGCCAGGAGACCCGAGGCCCCTCTCAGCCTCAGAACCTCCAACAGTGACTCACCAGCACGAGTCAGGACACCAGCTGGGTGGCCACATTCCAGCCTTACCTGGCAGACCTGGGTAGGGACAGGCTGCTGGTTGACTGGGTGCCAGTCCAGCTCCTCTGAGTCGTGCTGGTCCAAGAAGTAGCCCAGGATCTTGCCACCTCCACGGCGCTTGGGGGGTTTCCACCCAATGACCATGTCATTTTTCCCACAGTTCAGGAGGGTGAAGTCATATGGGGCAGATGGTGTAGCTGTGGGGAGGCAAGGAGGTGAGGCCAGGGGCAGTGGGGCCTGAGGGAGCCATCAGGCCTTCCCAGTAGGCACCCACCCTGTTCCAGGGGCACTAACTTAGCCAGAGGTGCCTGTTGGCAACCTTGACTTTGTCCCTGGGAGGGCACCTGCGAGGGCTTCACTGCATGGACTCAGGCTGCTGTTGCTTCCTTCCCAAAGGAAACACTGGTCAGGGAGGGGACGCTCCAGCTCCCTTCAGGGTGCTTATCCCCATTGGCCTCTGGGATTGCATCCTCCAAGATGTGGTCTCTAAGTCCCTGGTCTCTGCCTAGCCCAGAGCTGCCCCAGACTCTTGCAGGCTGCACCTCCCCTTGGACTTACCTAGAGCCTGCTTGACCCTGATGGGTTCAGTGGCCTCCGAGCTCTCACCTACCCCAGCCTCGCTGACCGATCTGACACAAAATTCATACTCCTTCCCAGTCTTTAGCCCGGGAACCGTAAACCTGGGGGAGAAATGTGCAGCATTCAGAGATGGCCATCAACTCACAGGCATCCCCGAACTTTCTAGAACAACCCTGTGGGGTAAGTGGTAACCAGCGTGGTAGGATTTGAGGGTTCTGGGCCAGCTCTTGCCTAGAGATACTGCCCTTGACCCAAAGTGATGTACACACTTGGAGGGAGAATTCCTTAAGATTTTAAAGGTGATCAAAAGGTACAAACTTTCAGTTATTCTTGTCTTATTACTGTATCTATATGAGATAATGGATCTTAACTAAACCTCTTATGGTAATCATTTCACACTATATGTAATTCAAGCCATCATGTTGTACACATTATACAATGATGCACGTCAATCATTTCTCAATAAAACTAGAGAAAACAAATGGGACTCTCCTAGAGCCCACCATTAAAATGCAAATATGCCGGGAAACATACCAGTTGGAGGCCCAGGTAGCCAACCCCTGAACTGTGCTCTCCTAGTACATCTCCGGGGCTTTGGCCTTGTCCTTGAAACACAAGTGGCTCTTATTATCTGCACAAATGCTCTGATTCTAAAACACAGAGTCCCTTTAAAGA